TTTTTTCCCTCCTTCCCTTCCTTCTCTTTTCTATGCTACGGCTGAGTAAACCTCCTTTAGTTAATTGTTGAACTACCTCCAAATATGTATCTCCTTGTGTTTCAATATCGGGCCTAAACTACCAAGGAACCAGCTTGAATCACCTTAATACCACTCTACATGCCGCATTACATAGTTCTATTAAGGATCAGCTATTGCAAACACAGACGGTACATGCTTGAGTGAGCACCCCCATTCCCCCCCCCAAAAAAAAGCAGCCCTGGAGTCAGAGCTTCTTTGGGGATATTTAGGATTATGTGTTCAGTCATGTTTCATTTGTATCCAACTCTGTGACCCCCATTTGGGGTTTCCTTAGCAGATATTAGAGTGGTTTGCCATTTCCTTCTCCAGCTCATATTACAGATGTGGAAACTGAGGCCAGCAGGATTAAGTGACTTGCCCAGGGTCACACAGTTGGTAAGTATCTGAGGCCAGATCTGAATTCAGGAAGATGAGTCTTCCTGACTCCAGGCCCCGAAGTCTATCCACCTATAGTTAGAAGGGATCTTAGAGATAATCTAATCCAACACCTTCACTTTACAGATGAGGAAACTGAGGCCCTGAAGAGGTGAAGTGATCTGCCCAAGGTCACACTGGTATTATTAAGTGGAAGAGCTAGGATGTGAGCCCAAGTACTCTGACTGCAAATGCAGTGCTCTTCCCCCCACCAAATCTCTTTTTTGCTACTTTCTTGGTTAAAGCCTCAGCTCAAAAAACCTAGGGAAACATATGCATAGTCCTTAGTACATTAAGAGTGACTCCCCTCTTAAAAGCATGGCATTCACAATATAATAATACTAATAATTAGTTAATAGCAATTATTAATTAATAATATCAATAATTAATTGGTAGCAATCACTAATTAATAATGATTAACATAATAAGAGGGAAAGTTTATTAAAATGAGGAAGACTAAGGAGATATCTTGGGATGAACCATCATGAGTAACAAAGACATATTTCCTGATTATTTGAGTGAGCTCTTTCCACCACAGTTAACAGTCTTGGCCCATAGCCCTCTGGCTACTCCCTAGGCTTGAACTTCCTGCCCTTCTTCAGGGCTCTGTAGCTCAAAGTCAAAGTTAGCAGCTATTTTTTGAGTTCTGTAATCTGTTGATGTCATACTCCTGTCATATAATGAGAGAAAAGAAAAAATGCCACACCTCTGTCTTCCTCTAGTCTTTTGATCGACAGTACTCTGTCTCCAAAGATCCTTCTTCCCTGCTTAGATAAGTCTCACCCGTCACTTTGCATATCCCTTGAGGGAGACACTTTATTTTCTGTAGTTACTCAAATAGGAGCAAATTTTATATCCTTCAGGGAGATGTACATGATTCTAACATTTGCACAGGAACACCTCGGAGGAGAAACTTTAAGGCAGAATCTTAGCTAAGAACTGAATGCTACTTATCCTCAGAAAATAGAAGTACATTAGGATTTTGTATTTGAAAAAACTTTAAGATAATTCTCTCAAAAGAGTTTAGTCTAACTATCCACACAGGGAAAACCAAGTAGATGGAGAATGTTGTCCAGACTCTGATTTTGTATGAATGACCCATAGTGTTGGTTCAGGATTACATATATCTTGAATGGTTATTGTGAGCAAAAATTTAATAGGAGGAGGATAATGAGATCAACAGCATGTGGAAAATTGCTCAGTGCATTTAATGAGCCCAGCCTGTCACAGTGACTGGTGCATAGTAACCTCTTAATAAATTACATTTTCCTTCCTTCTCTCTAAAACAAAGGTTCACCTTTTTTGACATTAATGTTCTTCCAGGAATGCTATGTGTCTAAGAGTCCCCAAAAGAACACCACACTATCCAAAGAATTAAAGGTACAGGTCACTTAAACGGCAATACAGTTGACATGAGTAGCCTGCAGAATGTTTCCAAGGGTGTGCTAGTAAATATTTAACAACCAGGATTGCCAGATTGGGTGGTGGGGGGAATGTATGCACACACTTTAATGTTTAATCAACATTATTATTACTTTCTTAATTCTAGACAATCAGCAAAACAATAAATCAAGCCCTGATTTTTAACAATTGCTAATTTCTGTAGTGGCAGCTAAGTGGCACTTAGATCACTAGGCCTGGAGTCAGGAAGACTTGAATTCAAATTTGGCCTCAAACACTTACCTGGCGGTGTGAATAATAGCTCACAATGAAAATTTAACAATTTAACATTTTAATTAAAAATTTTACATTTAAATATAAAATTTTTAAATATCAACAATTGGAGCTGGCTTCAGCACACATCTGAATATTATTGCAGGGCTAAAGCAGCATAAAGTATATCAACAAATATGTATATGCCTGGGAATGAAGAAGAAGATGATGATGATAGCTAGCATTAATATACTTTAAGGCTAGGAAAGCACTTTATAGATATTATCTCATTTCATCCTCACAACAATCCTGTGAGATGGATGCAATTATTAATCCCAGTGTTGCAGATGAAAAAATTGGGATTCAAAGAAATGAAATGAATTTGCTATCGTCACACAACTAGAAACTGTTTGAGGTAGATTTGAATCCAGGTTCGTAGCTGTCATTCATTCAAGGAGAGTGAGGAATGGATGGCCTCCATACTCTACTGGTATGTCCTCACAATGCCAATAAACCTAGAAGAAAGTCTCCAGAATAGTGGATGGACTCCCTGTAGAGGATTTATGGGAGAACACATACAAGCGTGGTGGAGAATGAGAAAGTGTGGATCAGTGGCAATCTGCCACCACATGGATGGGATCATGCATCCACTGAAGTGTTTAAGATCTAAAATGAGAAACAGGGAGAAAGGGCAAATGTCCAAATATCAGCTACATAAAATGTCTTTGCTTTATTTGCAAGGGTTCCTGCAGTGATACATTTTTCAGCAATTAACTTTTAAGTAAAAGAAACCCTATTAAGGAGGCTGACGCTTCCATTATGTACATTCTGAACAAAACTACAGCAAAAAGTTGTTCAAAACAATGCTTCCCAGTCCTTCGTATGCTATGGCACATTTACAAAGGCCAGAAAAACAATATATGTCAAGGCTTCAACTATGCAAATGAAAAGAAGAATAACAACCATAAAACAAATGAAATTGAATGGTGTGAAATTGCAATGACTCAATTTGGCTCCAGAGAAGAAATCTAAGAAGACACTTCCCCCTACTTCTCTGCACAGGTGTGGGGTCCACAGATGTAGGACCATGCAAGTTTGGGGGTTTTGGGGTGTATTGATTGGTTTTGCTGAAAATTTTTCTCTTATTCCAATTTTTAAAAATTATTCTAAGGGATAGATTTCTGGGATAGGAGAAGAGAAAGATACAGGAGGAAATGAAAGTTTTATCAAATCAAAAGATGCCAGTAAAATCTATTAAAAACAAATGGGTGACTACAAGGAAGAGGTAGTGGAAGCTAAATAACAAATTAACGTGGATAAATATTGAATTAGGATTTTAAAACCAGTCATCAGTGAACTGCCTTTTCTTCAATTTCGTTCCACATAGGTAAGGGCTATTTCTCTGAATTAACCGCCTTAGCCTATATGTTTATACAGTGTCATTTAAGTGTCCATTCGTGACAACCATCTACAATACTGTTAAGATGGAGTACTCGTATCACCTCTCCATGGACACAAAGAAAACCTGAGGGTCACTCTGGCCAAGGAATCACTCCCCCTCCCGCCTGAAAAAAAAAAGCAAACACCGCCATTATATTTCTATAGGAATTTTTTAAAAATCCAATATTTCTTACCTAAATATAAAAAAAATTCAGTTCATAAAAGCCTACTGATTCTCCTCTGAGATATCCCCAAATATAAAGTCTTTTTATTGTGTTGAAAATGGGGGAAAGAGTATAACTTTTTTTAAAGAAAGGAACTAGACAGCTGTGGAGGCAGAAAATGCTCCCTAGAAATTATATTGTGGGTAAATTCTAAGTACGGGTACAAAACTTAATCTCATACTGTCTTCTTATAAAAGATTAAGCTACAAAAAATTTTTAACCAAACCTGAGTAAAAGGAAAAAAATATTTTTTTCTATAGGGAACTTTATAACAATTATGTCTTATTCAATAATTAACCTATAATTCTAGATTTTTACACACTTCCTTATTTTTTGAAATAAGGTTTTTAGATACACACAGTATCTAGAAATAAGATTCTATTAAAAATAGATAGTGCTGTGTGTTCTCCTTCATCTCTCCTCTATTATCACCACTGAGTAAAGGGAAATAGTGATTAAATTTATAGACTCTCTGGCCCAATTAATTTTCTATGGTCTTTCGGCAGTGCTATAGAGAGCTTAAAAACAGCTTCTATAAATGTCAACTCTCAAGTATCTATACTTATGAAAGGGAGATATGGTGTTGATAATCCAATAACGCAGAAGAAAAAAAGTTTCTGTTAGGCTATAGAATACTTGATATGACTGTTTTATAGCATTTGTCTTTTACTTATGATTTGATATTACAGTTATAACAAATCACTCAGCTTCTATCTAATATGCAGGAAGAAAAGCAATATTAAAATTGCCTTAAATTCCCTCAGGCCTTATTATTTAGGCAATGAAAAGTGGCCCTGGAGTATATCTCAGTAACGAGAGATAACTGGATGGAAATTAACAATGTGCAATGGGTAATTCACAAATTATCCTATCATCCATGCACAAATAATTGACAGTTGATTTACAACACTGTTGCTACCGTTTTGCTTTTAAAAATTCATACATATTTCCATATTAGCCATTTTGCAAAAGAAAACACACACAAGAAAAATAAAGAAAATAAAAAATGTGTTTTGCATGACTTTACATGTATAATTGATGCATTGCTTGACTTTTCAAGGGGTAGGGGAGAGGCAGGAGAAAGAATCTGGAACTTAAAAATTTTAAAAATGAATGCTAAAAATTTTTTTTACATGTAATTGGGAAATAGTTAATGAAATAAATGAAAATATGTTTAAAAATTCATACCAATCAGCTTGATATTGTTGTCTTCATCTAGCAGCAAATTTTCTATCTTCAAGTCTCTGAAATAAACAAAATTGAAGAGTATTTTGAATGTCACATATTAGCATTGCCCAAAAACAAATAAGCTGCTTCAGTAATACTTTTAACTACCACTAGATTTTTCTTCTGAAATGTACTTAATCACCCAAGGCATAAAGTAGTATAAAATTCTATGCTAAATTATACAGGTATACTCTCTAAGAGTTCTATGAAGCAGGAGGACTCAGAGAGAAGGACGAGGCTTTCTGGAAGAGGCAGAAGTTAGGGGGCCATGGAGGATAACTGGATTTGAACAGTCAAAAGAGGAAGAAATGGGCCTTCTAGGAAGGGGAAACTGAACAAAAGCAAAGAAGTAGAGATGAGAACTTTATGTTTGTGGGAAATCTGCCTGAAGGGTAGTAATGAGAACAAAGAGTTAAGAAAGTTAGAAATACATCACTTAATCCAATCATCCTCCCAATATTATTTGCTCAGAGGCCAAAGGTGGTCCACCAAATGGCAGGTGGCCCTGCTTTCATGTGGTCCTCTTAGAATTATACATTCAAATTTAGAATCCCATGGGTGATTAACAAATTCCTTTCAGCATAGAACAAATATGCTAATTGGCCACTTGGATGGGTAGAGACATCTGTGCTTACATCTGCATCTAGTGAATAAGAAAGAATCACTGCACCCCTACCCACTCTATGTACATATTTCTTTATGGGGGAGGAAGGAGAGATGTGTGCTTTCCCTTTTAAAGGGCAATTTTAACTTCCCCTCCAAAACCAAAAACTTAAGTTAAAAAAAAAGTTAAACACTAGTAAAAACAGAATTCTATGAAAACTGCTTATAAAGTAGAAGTGCTATATGATGCCAAAGGAAGGAAACATAGTTTGTATGAGTTGCCTTCTCCAAATACATCCAGGCTGAAAACTCTGAGAAGAATGACTGCAATATCAGAAAACCGAAGGAAATATTTAATATCGGGGAGAGCAGAGAGATGGTAAATGGAATAAGATAAAAGAGAACAGGATTACTAAATTCAATCAAGAGAAAATTTGATGAAAGCAGGCCTACAGAAAGGATCAAATAGAAACACAAAGACAATTAAAATAATAAGAGGGACAAAAGATTTGTCATCTTAAGTTTTCTATACCTGCTAGACTAAAAGAAGAAAATATTTAAAAGAAATAGTGTAACATTTTTTAAAAGAAAGAAAAAATGTCATAAGCCAATGGAATAAGTAGTAAAATCACATTATCAAGACTAAATATAAATGTAAAAATAAGCCTACTGAAAATAATGTCCTAGGTGCCTTAATGGACAGCACAGACAGACCCGGTTAATACAGGTCATTTAGCAATTTGATGCCTACACATTAATGTTCTCCAAAGACTTAAGGAATAACCAATCTTAAACTATCCTAGTGTGCTAGTAATTTGCTGACTCAAAGCTATGTTAACTTGATCCCTATCAGCCAGGTCAATGTACTGATCTCATGAAAGTAAAATGTGATTGGTTTTTGCCTTTCTCTATTTCCCTTCAGTTTTACTTTTTGTAATTTCCCTATGTAACACCTGTTTCAAAACACTTTCCCACAGGGACCACAGTATCTTTAAAAGCCAAATGGAATGCAGTACATGTTGCAGGTTAAAGCGAAAAGCTTTGCCAGATTCAGTTCAATTCAACAAATATTTTTTAAAGCAATTTATGCTATCAGTTTGGAATTACAGTTCTAACTGTCATTGAATGAGGTCTTTTCCCTATGGAATCAAAGAGGGTATATTTTTATCTTTATCTATGAGGATCTATGGGATGAACTATGAGATGACAGAGAAAAAAGGTGAGAAGAAACTTCTTTCTTGCTAAAATTGTCAACTGTTACACTGTGAAGAGACTTTAAAAAGAAAATTATGTGAGAACTAAGTCTGGTAAAGAGACTGTTTTCTTGTCGTGGCTGGAGAGAAACTAGAGAAGACAGAAAAGAGGTGGGGAGCTTTTTGGAAGAAGCTGTTTTCAATTTACCTTAACAAAGAAGATTTTAAAGAAGAGACTTAACTTAGTATCTGAGAGAAACTAAATGATGTGGCACTGTGTGTGTGTAAGTGAAGAGAAGTCATTTGTCATTATGGTGAAGACTTGAGGTAACGGTTGTTACAATCTTTCTCGTACCGAAAATATTGTAAATAATTATCTGTCTTTGTTATTATTTACTTTATTTGTTAATAAGGTATAGATTTAAATGTATTCAGTTATTTTGATGTTTATTTAATCAAAGGACGGTAAAAGATTTAAAATATAGAAAGGTGAGCATTATTGGGAAAGGATGTTTCTCTTTAGTTAAATAATATATAATATACTCAGGATGAGAGCTTGTGATAATTAATCAATGAGAAAAGTTGCAGTCTTATTAGAAAGAAAATACACAAGAATGTCTCTGGATTAATCTAAAGCTCAAAATAAGAAGAGTAGATATGAGAAAGAATCAACTAGGAGGTTGAAGGATTACCTACACATGTGTGTAGGTACATGTGTAAAACTCTGTAAACTATCATTATGGACTTACTACTTCCCTCAAAACCAGACTTTCTTGATGGACAATTTTTAAAAGCTGATTTAAGATTATTTTTTCCTCTCCTTGAAGATGAATGCTTCAGGAGGATATTATAGCCAAATGTTTAATTCCAATGAATCTGTTTAGACTCTACCCAGAGTCCAACCAAATGCAAATTTAGTTCAGCAGACAAACTGACCCTCCACCCATCTGTGATTCAATGATTACTGATGCTCAGAATTATGATCCTGAGGTCTTAAAATACTTTCTGGACAGTAAGAGAAAGATTAAATTATGTTGTGCATTGTATTGTTTTCTAATTACTAAAAATGACAATTAACTAAAGTGTTGACTTGCTTGGCACATAGTAGGAGCTTAAAATGTTTCTTGACTGACTGATCAAAATAATTTTTGCTTCTCTGATAATTATACCTGATAGTTTACCGTATCAGCATCATACTGAGCAAAAATTCTTGTTGCTATTTTAAGGATCAATTTTTAATGGTTTATCTTTCATTCTAAACCTGTACCTTCTCTAAACTTCTCTATGTTTCTTGTAGGTGACACTAATCTTCCAGGTCACCCAGGCTTGAAACCTCAGAGTCATCAGACTCTTTTTTAAAAATTAAATTTCATTTTATTTTCAGATCTGCATTGATTCCCTCTTACCTCCCTCACTACCACTTTAAGAAAGCAAGAAAAACAAAAACCATTACAAACATGTGTAGTTAAGCAAAACAAATTCCCATATTTGCTATATCCAGATTAGGGGAAGAGGGAAATATCTGAAACTGTACTCTGAATTCATTGTCTCTTCATCAAAAGGTGTGTAGTTTCAACCTGAATAGTCAGGAACTATGGCTGATCATTGCATTGAACAGAGTTCCTAAGTTTTTCAAAGTAGTTTGTCTTTATACTATTGATATAATTGCATAAATTATTACTCTGATTCTCCTCATTTCACTTTGCATCAATTCACACAAGTCTTCCCAGGTTTCTCTGAAACTATCCCCTTTACCATGTCCAATAGCATAATAGTATTCCATCACAAATATCAATTAATGGGTACACCCTTCATTTCCAATTCTTTGTCACCATAAAAAGAGATGCTATAAACATTTTTGTAGAAATGGGATACAAGCCTAGTAGTGTTATCACTGGGTCAAAAAGTATGCACAAGTTAGTAATTTGGAGGGTAATTTACAGCTCCAGCAAAAGTGCCCAGATGTTCCTTCCCCACCCTCACCCCCACACCTCCTCTTGTACTTGTCATTTTCCTTGTATGTCCACTTTGTTAGCCTGATAAGTGTGAGACAGAACCACAGAGTTGTTTCCATTTGCATTTCTCTAATTATTATTAGTGATTTAGAGCATTTTTCATATGGTTACTGATAGCTTGTATTGCTCCCTCTAAAAATTATTTGTTCATAACCTTTGACCAGTTATCAATTTGGGAATCATTATACTCTTTCTTTTCTTTCACCACTCATATCTAATCAATCCTCCAGTCCTGTCAATTTTGCCTCTACAACACTGTTCACAACTGCTCCCTTCTCTAGACACTTAGCTTCTGGGCCTTCTTATCACAACTTGCCTGGACTATAGTGACAATCTCCTACCTGAACCTTCTGCCTCCAAACTCTTCCTTTCTCCAATCTGACTTTTACACAGCTATCATAATAGCTACTTCCTAGCCCACAGGTCTAAACATGTTATTTTCTGGCTCCAAAACCTTTTTTGTTTTATTGTTTCAGTCCTGTCCAACTCTTTGTGACCCCATTTTGGGGTTTTCTTGGCAAATATACTGGAGTCTTTGCCATTTCCTTCTCCGGCTCATTTTATAGATTAGGAACTGAGGCAAACAGAGTTAAGTGACTTGCCCAGAGTCACACAGCTGGTAAGTGTCTGAGGCCAGATTTGAGTTCATGAAGATGAGGCTTCCTGATTCCAAGCCCAGTGCATTATCCACTGCACCACTTAGCTGCCCTTTTTGCTAGCTCTCTCTTGCTTATAGGATATAATACAAACTTTAAGGAGTTCTACACAACCAAGATGGACTCTACCTTTCCAGGATCATTTCACATTACTTCAAGCACTCTATGTTATAGCCTATCTGGACTTTCCCCCTAAATTCAACATGATGTCTCCTACCGTGATGAATTCAGAAAAACTGGCCCCCATTCCTGGAATGCATTCCCACCTAATCTCCACTTTTCAGAATCTCTCTTTGTCTTCAAAGGTCAACTGGGAGGCCACTGCATCATGAAGATGTCCCTCATCACTCCAGCTAAAAACAGTGTTTCCTTACTCCAATTTCTTGGACCACATTCTCTTCTTCTTTCTTTTGCCTCCATCATACTTGACTTTATTTTACACTTATCTATCAACAGGTAGCAATATCCCTAGCAGAACATAAGCTCTTTTTAAGGGCAGGAACTATGTCATTTTAAAAATCTTTATATCCCAAGCACCTAGCTTAAGTGT